TCTTTCACTATATTGAGATTTAGAGCTCGGAAGGGGCGATTTCGAAAGAGATTTTCACTACTACTTTGAGGGTAAGTAATTTCTACTTGGATTTTGTTAAATATCTTGATTCCTCATATTTTTCTACACCTAAGACATAATTTGAAAGTGAAATTTTGGGGTTTTTGTCCAAAACATAAAAGAGTGTAATTTGAGGTTTTGACTACCAATTTGCACTCGGTTTGGTAATCTAATCACATATTTGGACTCGTGGAGCTATGGATAGTCGGGATCTACCCTAAGATTCGGGTGTTAACTATGCAGGTATGAGTTGACTTTTGTAGATTCTTTGGGAAATGATTAAATATTGAAGTTTATTGTTCAAGACTCATTTCTATAGCATTATTTGACTCATTTAAGTAATATTTGACTACATCAAGTTGTATGGAGGAGAATTTGAAAGGAAAGCATTTTTGGAAGTGTGAAGGTGTTATCGGGTGGAGGTAAGTCACTTTTCCATCCTTGTAATAGGGAATTCTCCCCATAGGTGACCTATTTACTACTTGTTTCTTAATTTAGGAGCCACGTATATGCGAGGTGAAGAGCGTATATGCGTAGCTAGGTTATGACCATGTCCAGTAGAGTTTGGCTGATGTTTATGCTATGTTTTGTAACGACCCGGCCAGTCATTTTGAGAGTTAGAGCCCCGATCCCCTGTTAACTACTTCCCCCATATCTATTTCTGTTGTTGTGACTTGACGGGAGGTTTCGTTTTGGGTTTTGAAGTGTTTTGGGACACTTAGTCCCTAAATGGGAGCTTAAGCCTTAGGAATTGGACCGTAGTCAGAACTGTGATAGGACGACTCTGGAATGGAGTTCCATCAATTCTGTTAGCTCCGATGGGCGATTTGGGCTTAGGGGCGTGTCCGGTGAAAGTCGAATTTTTAAAGTTTTGGGCCGGTAGTGGAATTTTTGATATCGGGGTTGTCGGAATATGATTCCGAAAGTTGGAGTAGGTCCGTGGTGTTGAATATGACTTGTGTTCAAAATTTGAGATCATTCAGACGTGGTTTGATAGGTTTCATCATCGGTTGTGAAAATTTGAAGTTTCAAGTTCATTAAGTTTGGGTTGGAGGGTGATTTGTGATTTTGACGTTGTTTGATTTGATTTGAGGGCTCGACTAAGTTCGTATGGTGTTTTAGAACTTATTGGTATAATTGGTTGAGGTCCCAGGGGCCTCGGGTGAGTTTCGGGTGCTTAGCGGATCAAAAGTTAGAAATTTGTTATTGCTGAAGCTATCTAAGTCCTGGTGTTTTCGCACCTGCGGTGGGGAGACCGCAGGTGCTGGATCACACGTGCGGGAGGTGTAGCGCAGAAGAGGGTTTGTGCAGCCCAGGCTGGGTTCGCAGGTGTGGAGTGGTTTGCGCAGAAGCGGCCTCGCTTCTGCAGAGGGAAGGTGCGCAGGAGCGGTGCAGTCGCAGGAGCGGTGCAGTCGCAGGTGCGGCTCCTTGGTCGCAGGAGCGCATCCGCAGGTCCGTCCCTCCTTACGCAGATGCGGACCCAGGGAACTTAAGTTATTTCCACACCTGCGATGGAAATTCCGCAGGTGCGGCATCGCAGATGCGACTGTTGGCCCGCAATTGCGAGATCTCTGGCAGAAAAAGGGGCTAAATCGAGGTTTTGATTCATTTCTTCATTTTTGGACTTGGGAGCTCGGAAATTGGCGATTCTTTGAGGCATTTTCAGAGAGAGATTTGGGGTAATGATTCCTTACTCGATTTTGGTTTTATTTCAATAATTTATTGTTGTTTTCTTCATTTAATTAAGGAATTCGAATGAGAAAGTTGGGAAAATGGGGGATTGTTCCCCAACCGAATTTCTGAGTTTTGAGTGGGATTTAGACATCGGATTTGGATAAATTTGGTACGAGTGAACTCGTGAGTGAATGGGTGTTCATATTTGGTAACTTTTACTCGATTCCGAGACGTGGGCCTAGGGAGGCTTTTGGGGCGAATTTCCAATTTCTTATTTTAGCTTTGATTTCGGTAGCTAGATTAGTTCCTTGTAGTTGTATTCATGTTGTGTAATTGATTTTGCTAGATTTGGGCCATTCGGAGCCGGATATTCGTGGAAAGAGCATTGTGACGGATTGATTTGAGCTTGGTTCGAGGAAAATGGCTTGCCTAACCTTGTATGGGGGAAACTCCCCTTAGGATTCAGTACTGTTTTGATATGTGAGCGCCGTGTACGTAAGGTGACGAGTACGTACATGTGCTATTTGTTGTAAAACTCCATTTTCCACTAAGTCATAACCTGTTTTTCCTTATTTGAACTACACTAGCATATGTAATTATCTTGTTTAATTTAGATTAGCATGCCTACGTATTTTAACTGCCTATCTAAACTCTGTGCAGCATGCTTAGTGAAATTTCCTTCTTTTCTTGACTTGAACTTAGTCGAAACTGTAGCTTTTCTTGCTGTATTTGTTTTTTTGTTGGATGAGCTGCATATTTACTTTGGGACTACGGAACGGTATTCCAGAAGATCCCCCTGTACTGCATATTTATTTTGGGACTACGAAACGGTGTTCCGGGAGATCCCCCAGCACTGCATATTTACTTTGGGACTACGGAACGGTATTCCTAGAGACACTCCTGCACATTTACGTTTGGGACTACGAGACGGTATCCTGAGAGATCCCCTGTTGTTATCACTATGTTCTAAACTTTCATTGATCCTATTCCTGTTAGATTTCCTTATTTATTTTTACTGTGATATTTCATTCTATCTTATTTCATTATATTTATATCAGTAGGGCCCTGACCTGATCTCGTCACTACTCGACCGAGGTTAGGCTTGGCACTTACTGGGTACCGTTGTGGTGTACTCATGCCCTTTCCTGTACATAATTTTTGTGTGCAGATCCAGGTTCAGCTTACCAGCCTCATCACTAGTTGAAGTCGTTGTTGCTTATTGGAGACTTCAAGGTGCATTTGCCCGCGCTCGCAGATCCTCGGAGTCCCCCTGTATCCCCTCCCCCCCCATGTTCATTTTCCTTCTTTCTGTAGAAATGATGTATAGAACAGTTAAGACTTCTTAGTAGCTTGTGACTTACGGTATTCCGGATTTTGGGAATTGTTTGGTTCATTTTAGAGGTGATAATTGTATATGCCGAGTGACATTCAGTTGCTTATTAGATATTTGTTTTTGTTAGTAGTTAATGTTCATGCATTTATTTCATTTCCGCAAAGTGTTAGGCTTACCTAGTTGTAGAGACTAGGTGTCATCACGAAAAGTCACGGAGGGAGAAATTGGGTCGTGACATGTTTGGACTATGTGAATTCCCTATCCATGTTTCCTTGATTCTTTGACTATATGATAACTTAAAATTATGGCTTAGAAACATGCTTAAGGTTATGACTTGTTAAATTGGTCAAAAGGGATTAATTTTTTATGTTGAGATCTTTTATTAAGTTGTAGTCATACACTTATCTCAATTGACTCATGATTTGGTGGTTAAATGACTTAATTTACTCATGTTAAATGTTATGATTAGACCTTTGAATGTTGAAATAGCTTATTGAACAGTTTTGATAAATTAAATTGCACGAATAGCCATAGCCATATTTTAGCCATGTAAGCTTTTATCCGCAGTTCTAATGTTATGTATCGGTGCCTCTTAATTATATTATTTCATACACATATGCGTGAGTTGGAGAGTTGGATATTGAGAAAAAGTTGAGGATTTTAGCACTAAGGAACTGGTGAGCGGATATTGATTCTTGGTAATTGATCATTCATTGTAAAATGATCAATGCTCAGATATGGGTCTGTCCCTCCGGAGTCAGGTGATTACCCACGTTACTTTTGGCTCTATGAGCATAGGAACTCGGATTTTGTGCTTGGTTTGGACGTATGACCTGTGTTAGGCACATGGATTTGTGTTGTGAGGTATTGAGAAGGTATCCTGAGCATGCATATTTATGTATTTTAGACTCATGCAGTGCCTTTTACGTAAATTTTGGCTTATACACATTGTCTTTATGTGAGGATTCAAATATTCATATCTGATTCAATCTCTTTATCTGCAAAGCATGCCTAAATTCCTAATGTACTCTCTCTCCCTCTCTCTCTCTCTCTCTCTCTCTCTCTCTCTCTCTCTCTCTCTCTCTCTCTGTCTGTCTTTTATGCCTATTTGATGATACCATACTTTACTTCGTACCTTATTTATGCTTTTACCTAATTATTGGACTGTTATTAAATGTCGATGTCGCCTCCATCGCCACTACTTCTTTGAATCTAGACATGATACTTACCGAGTACCATGATTTTTACTCATAGTACACTTCTGCATATTTTGTGCAAGTTGTGAGGAAGGTACGAGTGGTACCCATCCAACTAAGTAGGTGTATCTGATAGAGACTGCATGGTGAGCTGCATTATTTGGTCAGATCCACAGCACATGGAGTCCCCCTTCCCTATTTTATCTATCTCTGCCCCTTTATTTCCTTTCCAGACAGATGTTATTATTCAGTTGAGACCAACTAATCTTGTTAAATGTTTATGACATTGTGAAACTAGGTTTTTGGATGGGGTATGATGATGTGCATGGTGGTTTCGGCTTTGGAGATAGAAATGGAGGGGTACTTCACTGCTGGATTTTGCTACAAGCGTTTGATTTGGTGATAGCAAACTCAAATTTTCTGAAGAAGGTGGAATACTTGGTCACATTTCGGAGCTCGGTGGCCAGGACCCAGATTGACTATCTTCTCTGCAGGAGGTCCGATAAAGGTCTTTTCACGGATTGCAAGGTCATACCGAGTAAGAACCTCACGACCCTTCATAGGCTCTAGCCATGGACCTTGAGATCACGAGGAAGAAGAGGAAGAGGGCGGTGTATGGCCAACCTAGGATCAAGTGGGGAGCCTTGACTGAAGACAAAGCGCAGGAGTTGGGGGTTAAGTTATTGACTATGGGAGCTTGGAGGAGTAGTGGGGATGCGAGCCTGATGTAGACCGCGATGGCAGAATGCATTAAGGAAGCTGCCAGAGAGGTTCTAGAGGTCTCGAAGGGTTACAATGGTGGTCGTAAAGAGACTGGTGGTGGAATGGAAAGGTCCAAAGAAAGGTGAACACCAAGAGAGCAGCGTATCTGAAGCTAGTGGAAAGCATTGACGAGTAGGAGAAGAGGTCGAATAGCGAGCGGTATAAGTTGGCTATGAAGGAGGCAAAGTTAGCAGTTACAGCGGCTAAGACTGCAACATTTAGTCGTTTATATGAAGAACTTGAGGGTAAAGGAGGGGAGAGGCTGTTCAGACTAGCCAAGGTGAGAGAGAGAGAGAGAGAAAGGCCCATGATTTGGACCAAGTGAAGTGCATCAAGGATGAAGAAGGTAGAGTATTGTTGGATGAGGCGCATATCTGTCGGAGATGGAAGACTTACTTCCATAGCCTCTTGAACATGGATGGGAACAGAGACATTATTCTTGATGATTTGGGATCCTCCGAGAGTCGTTGTGACTTTGGGTATTGCAGGCGGATTAGAATTGAAGAGGTTGTAGGGGCTCTGCGTAAGATGACCAGGGGCAGAGTAACCGGGCCAGATGAAATCCCAGTGGAGTTTTGGAAGAGTGTAGGCAGGGAAGGCTTGGAGTGGCTTACTAGGTTATTTAATGTTATTTTTAGGACGAAAAAGATGCTCGAAGAGTGGAGATGGAGCACGATGGTTCCTTTGTATAAGAATAAGGTTGATATCAAAAATTGCAACAACTATCGGGGTATTAAGCTGCTTAGTCATACTATGAAGGTGTGGGAGAGGGTGGTGGAGCTAAGGGTGAGGAGAAGGGTGTCTATTTTCGAGAACTAGTTTGGGTTTATGCTGGGGCATTCGACTACGGAAGCCATTCACCTGGTTAAGAGATTTATGGAACAATATAGGGTGAGGAAGAGAGACTTGCATATGGTGTTCATCGATTTAGAAAAGGCTTACGATAAAGACCCGAGGGAAGTTCTGTGGATATGTTTAGAGGCTAGAAAGGTACATGTGGCCTATATTAGGATGATTAAAGACATGTATGAGGGAGCAAAGACCTGTGTGAGGATTGCGGGAGGGGTCTCAGACCATTTCTCGGTCATGATAGAGTTGCATCAGGGGTCGGTACTCAGCCCTTTTTTGCTTGCCTTAGCGATGGACGTACTGAACCGCCACATCTAAGGGGAGGTGCTATGGTGCATGTTATGTGCACACGACATTTTTTTGATTGACGAGATGCGATACGGTGTTAACGCGAGGTTAGAGGTGTGGAGACAGACACTGGAGTCTAAAGGTTTCAAGCTGAGCGGAACCAAGACAGAATACTTGGAGTGTAAGTTTAGTGGTGCTACTCAGGGAGTGGAAGGGGAGGTGAGGCTGGACTCATAAGTTATACCTAGTAGGGGAAGTTATAAGTACCTTGGGTCTATTATATAGGGGGATGGGGAGATTGATGAAGATGTCACACATCGTATTGGGACGGGATAGATGAAGTGGAGACTTGCTTCTGGTGTTTCGTTTGACAAGTAGGTACCACCAAAACATAAAGGTATTTTTATAGAGCAGTGTCAGATCGGCTATGTCGTATGGGGCAGAGTGTTGGCCAGTCAAGAGCTACCACGACAAGAAGATGAAGGTAGCAGAGATGGGGATGTTAAGATGGATGTACGGGCACACCAGATTAGATAGGATTAGGAATGAAGTTTTTCGGGACAAGGTGGTTGTGGCCTCTATTAAGGACAAGATGCGGGAAGCACGACTTAGATGGTTTGGACACGTGAGGAGGAGAAGCACAGACACCCCGGTAAGGAGGTGTGAGAGGTTGAAATTGGAGGGTCGTAGGAGAGGCAGAGGTAGGCCGAAAAAAAGTTGAGGTGATTAGGCATGACATGGCACAACTACATCTGACCAAGGACATGACCCGTAATAGAAAGGTGTGGAGGTTGAAGATTAGGATATTAGGTTAGGTAGTCTAGATTATACATACTAGTAGTGTTAGTACGTACTCTCGCACTTGGTTGGTAGTAAGCTTGTTGCATTTCGATCATCTTACTATCTTGTTATGTATGCTGCTTTTACATGATTTTTTGGTGTTGTCTTGTCTTGTTTCTTGTTATTATTGGGGTGCCTGTGCTTGCCTGAGCCAAGGGTCTATTGGAAACAGGTCTCTACCTCCACAAGGTAGGGGTAAGGTCTGCGTACACACTACCCTCCCCAGACCCCAACTATGTGGGATTATATTGGGTATGTTATTGTTGTTGTTGTAAACGCTTCATAATTGGATTATATTATTGTTATTGAGTGTTGGATTTCCTTGAAAGCAAGTTAGGCACCATCACGATTATTGGTGGAGTTCTTGGTCGTGATAGGTTGGTTGATCACTTTCTTCTCTGCGCCGTTGCGATTCTATACGGTTGTTGTTGCATTGGTGAATCAACATTATCAGCTAGATCAATATTTTTCACCTCCTCCGCTTCCTATACTTTTGAACCACTAGGCTGAGCTAGTGGTGATTTAATTTTCTAGCTTTATGCAATCACTGACACCATGATATGTTCCTGCTACTGCCTTCTCCATTTGGCCGTCCAGTGAGACAGATTCATTGAATGTCACATCCCTAGTAATAATTAACCATGTAGTCTTTTGATCTGTACACCATAACCTATAACCTTTCACTCCAGTTTCATCCCTAAAATGAGCATAAATAGGACAATTAAATATCCTCCAATTTTAATACTCAGTAGGTGAACTGGACCATACCTTAAAAGGAGTTTTGAACTCAATAGTTGTGGATGGAGATCTGTTGACCAAGTACCAAGCTGTCACGATCCAAATTTCCCACCTTAGGATGTCGTGATGGCACCTAGTCTCTAAGACGAGGTAAGCGTAACATTCATTAATAGCTTAACAGAAATGTCAAGATTTAGATAATGAAATAAGCTCATATTAACTTCCAAAATATAACATCAACAACTGAATTCCTAACAACCGATGGAACTGATTCATAAGCTCTACAGAGTATTCTAAAATCTCTACTAAAACACGGTATAACGAAGGAAATAAAAGTAATGAGAAGATAACGGAAGGCGACTTCGAGGCCTGCGGACGTCGGGTAGGTGCACCTTGAAGTCTCTGGAAAGCAGCTAATCAATCAATCACTAACGTCTAGCATGGGCAGACATACCTGGATCTGCACAAATGCGTAGTATGAGTACACCACAATGGTACCCAGTAAGTATCAAGCCTAACCTCGGTAGAGTAGTGACAAGGCCAGGTCAAGACACCTACTAGGATAAGAGAGAACTAACAGAGTATAGCACAGTCTAAATATGGAAAGAGAGGAAGTAAATGACAAATAAACAGTTCAATAATGTAAACTAACGATAGAAATTTAAGCAGTAAAGGCAACAAAGAGTAAGCATATGATGAAACAACAAGGAAACAAATACGGGTAATTTCAAGTAAGGCAATGAAGAAACAACAAAAACTATTCAAGCAACAAGCCTTTTTAACATAGAGTGCACAATAAGAAATCACAACTGAGGTACCGCCTCATTTCCACATTTCACAATTTCAATCATAATCTTCCCTTATACCACCGCGTGAGCCTTACATTTAGTTTTGAAAATCGTTTTTCCCGAAATAACTACACGCGTTTTAGCCTACCTTATCTCACCGCGTGGCTTAAAGTAGTTCCGCTACTAGCAACGCGCGTATCAAGCCCACATTATCTCACCGAATACGTAAAAACCATAGCTTTATAAACATCCAATTTACATCAATATCACAACATAATCACAACTCGCACCACAAGTGTTCATATGCAACAACTTGCCAAAAGAATCACGAATACCAATGTTTCCACGAAAAATAACCCATGGCTCAACCACAATCTATACAAGAATCTCAATAACAACAAAATGAATGTAAATTGCTCAACAAGAAAGATATCTCAACAACTAACAACTTCACCTCAATGCGACAACGGCCTTTACAGCTTCAACACCAATAACTCTACAAGAAGATATTCCATGAAATAACAACATAAAGTAAAAGTAATTCAACAATTTAAGAGGTAACAAGACAATAAGGAACGCAATTACTTCAACTAAAGCATATAAGATCAAAATAACAAGTAAGAGGTAGAACAAGTGTTAACAATGTCAAATATAGCATGTAAGGGTAGATTAACACATGTAAGAGTAGACTAACAATGAGGGATATAACATGTTATGCTAATTCAATTAAAGTCATGAAAGAGTCTAAATAACCTAAACATGTCAAATGCCACATATAGCCTGTGTACTCACGCACCACCTCGCGTACACAACTTTAAAATAACACAAATAGCACAATCAACCCAAATCCTAAGGGGTAGTTCCCCCACACAAAGTTAGGCAAGATACTTACCTCAACTAGGCCAAATCAACCCTCGAATATAGCTTTTCCCCTAAAATTCTCCTCTACACAGCTCAAATGTAACCAAAAATGACTTAATAACATCAAACAATGCAAGAGAGATCAACTACAATAGCTAAAGCTATGATCTTTACACATTTTCCAAAAAGTCAACAAAAGTCAATCCCGGGCCCGCCTAGTCAAAACCTAGGTCAAAATGTAGATTCCCACTATCCATAACCCCACGAGTCCATATGTGTTTTTTGTTTTCAAATTCGAGTCCAAATCGACTCCAAAAACTCAAATCTTCATGTTTCAAACCTTTGACAAAAATCCCCAATTTTACTCCTTGATTCGCATAAATTCGATGTTAAATCTATGATATAATCATGAAATATAGTTGGAAATCGATTAGAATCACTTACCAAATGTTTGTAGATGAAAATCCCCTCTCCAAATCGCCTTCTACCGAGACTAGGTTTCTAAATGCACTTGGAAGAAGAAGTAGAAAATAGAGAATATGATGAAAAATCTCGACTCCCAGCCCTTTTGTTCAGCTGCAGATGTCGCATTTGCAAACCCGGGTTCGCATTTGCAAAACCTCGTGGTTGTAAAACAGGGATCAAAATTTCACCCTAACAGACTACTCAGATGTCGTAGTTGCGACAAAGTCTTCGCAATTGCGAAGCTGACACCTTTCGCAAAAGCGACCAATTGGTCGCAATTGCGAACCCCTCCCAAGCCTGTTGACTTCGCAAATGCGAGGGGGAAAGTTGCATTTGCGACAACTGAACACCCCCTGTCCCCTTCGCAATTGCGAGGCTGGTGCTCGCAATTGTGATATCAGAGCACCAACACACCAGCAATTCTATTTTCAGTCCAAAACTGTGACACGTCGGAAACTCATCCGAGCCCTCGAGGCTCCAAACCAAACATCCACACAAGTCTATAAACATCATACGAACTCGCTCGCTCAATCTAAAAACAAAAGTAACATCTAGAACTACGTATCGAACACCAAAACGCATGAAATTCAAAGTAAAGTTCAAGAATTTCTAGAATTTCAACCAAGCATTTGAATAAAATCGAATCACCTCCAAATGGCACAAATTTTTAAAGACAAGTTCTAAATAGCATAACGGACCTATTCCGAGTCCCAAAACTAAGTTTTGAACCCAATATCCAAAAGTCAACCTACGGAAAAACTTCTAAACATCAAATTGCCAATTCTCGACAAACCAACACAAATCAACCGACGGACATCCAAATTCGATTCCGTGCATACACCCAATTACAAAATCATGATACAAACCTATTTGAGACATCAAAACACAGTTCCGGGTTCGTTTTCTCAAAAGTCAAAGTTTGGTCATGTAAATCAATTTTGGCTTCTAAGCCAAGAATCAAAGAGTGAAAACCAATCCAAAACCTTCCCA